TTTATTTATTTATTTTGTTCGATTTATATCCCGCCCATCTGGTATATTTAGTGTTAAGATCATCAGAAAAGGCCTTTCTCTCAGTCTCACCAGTTTCATAGGTGTGTGTGTGGTGACACAGGAGAAGGCCTTCTTTGTTGCTGCTCCAAGACTTTGGAACTCCCTCCCACAGGAGGTCAAGCTGGTCCCATCTTTGCTGTCCTCTCATAAGCAAAGACCTTTCTTTTCAGGCACACTTTCCTTCAGTGCCTGGCTAAATGAATGAGGTGTTTTAATGGATGGTTGTGCCTTATTGTTTGAATGTATTTTTGTGTTGTTTTTGTTTACAGTTTTTAGTGTGCTATTTCCTTGATCCTTTTAAGTATTTGTATAGTTATTGTTTTTTAGCTTTAAATGTTGTCTTTTAATTATGTAAGTTGCTCTGGGTGTTTTTTAAGGAGAAAGGTGGGGTAAAATAATTTTAAGTAAATATATTGTGCAACAAAATGGAGTATCACAAGCAATTTCACAATGAGAAAAAAAAATCTAGCTCAGCATTGTCTATGCTAACTGGGAGTAACTTTCCAGGATTTGCAATTAGGCTTCTCAGAGTCTTGTCTGCAGATTGAACCCAAGATCTTCTGTGGGCAAAATATATGCTCTGTCACCAAACTAGTCTCTCTTGTATTAGCATAACAAGACAGCAAAACCACTGGGCAAGTTTAAATATCTAACAATAAGTGGAGAGATTCAATGCACACTTAGTGTACTAGTAAACATAACTTCCATTATGTAGTCATAAATGTATGGCTCTCTTGGAAATTTCCCCTTCTGCCTTCAAACCTGTCTGATTCAACTATGTGAAAGAACAACAAACAATCCACTATTCAACACTGCATGCCATATTTGCTGTTTTGAGATAAAGTCATGTCTCCCATTCTAAGGGAGATGTAGAAATAACCTCTTTAAAAACTTTTCTAACAATCCAGGCATTTTAGATTTTACATGTCCCATATTTCAGTTCTGTAGCTACTGAAAAAGTGACCTAACAAACAGTTAATGATCCTGTGAAAAATTCAGTCAACTGCAGATACATTATACTAAAGTAAATATTTCTGAAGAACTGAAAGCTTACAAGTGGCAGTATGTTTTGAAAAGTAGTTAATTTTAAATACATTGACTTAGATGAAAGAAATAACCTGATACACCCTCCAATTGTCTAGTTTTTAGAACAAAAGTCTGTTTATCTATAAGCCTGCATGTGAATTAAAATACATCCATCCATACAACTACTTCCTCCTATGCAATCACTGAGTAAAATTAGGGAATTTGTTTTCACCCATAAACATGAATTTTAGGTTACCCTTAGCTTCCTACCTGAGAGTGCAATGGATTGAATCCAGCACTTATTTTGCTTTCCTCCCCATTCAGCTCCCGTCCCCTTCAAAAGATCTGCTCTAAAGCCTCTCTCAAACTTTGGAGGGGGGGGGTTTCAGGAAAACAAGGAGCAAAGGAAGGGGAATCTGTTCCACTGAAAAATTCAAATCCATTGCCAGTCAAATGGCATTACATTCAAATTAAGGTTATTTTACAATTTTAATAGACAAGTCATTCACATTGTTATCTTAAGCATAACTCTGCCCTCAAACAATATGCCCCATACTCAATGGTCCTTACCAAAGAACCCATGTTCAATGGGCAAAAATAAGATAAACTTCAGTATGATACATACGGTAACCCACCTACTTCTTGAATGCAAGAAGTATGGTAAACCTAATGGAAATGGGCAAACAATTTGCTCTTTAAAAGTTAAAAGAGCATCAGCTGTGTTTCAGTACAAAATACTGCCATGAAAATTAATGATCAATTAGATCCCCAAGTGTGAAAACATGTTGCATCCATCCAGCACGATTTCTTACTCCCAATACATTTTCTGGAACACCCAGTCTCAACAGAGTTTGCTTCGCCCACATGTCTTGTTTGTCTTTGCAACTTTAGTGGTTGGTGCATCCCATCAAGTTGTTGAAGTTACTGGGAAATAACTTTAATTCAGATTCCTACATGTCAACATGATTATTTTGTTTTGTTTTTTCCAGGAAACGTCTTCAAACGTGTAGTATCTCTATAAAAAGTTCAACAGATGCTGGAAATTTCCCAGCCTGTGTCGAATTTTCAACTGTCTGAGAAACCAGGAACAAGGCATTTCCCCAACCCTACATTAGCATCAGTGTGCTCTGTACAATCTTCCCCTTTTGCAGCCATCTCTGACAAAGAAACAAACTTTTCCAAAACTTTAAGAAGAAAATACATATCAACAGTGCACTCAAACAATAAAAATCACTCCCAGAATACAAGAGACAAATACAGTAGTTATCTTTCATCAAGGGATTTTGCTCCCAGGGCAAGTAACATTAGGCCTCAGAGATGTGGAAAAACTAGAGAGCAAAAAGTTGCATCTATTTCTGTCACTGGTTCATACATTCATTCAATTACACTGAAACTAACCAGTAATGCTCCAAGCAAGCACCTTTGCTGTTTTAGGTATTTCATAATTAAACACTGCAAAACTAAATGTTAATGAGGTCATGAAGTACTTGTATAAGAAAGGAACACTGTTTCTATCTGATTTTCTGATGATGAAGGCCTCTGGAGATGCAGTTAAAATCTAAGTTTTTTTTTCTTCAGATATACACAAGAAAACGGCAAACAAAAATAATTAGGAAACAATAATGTTTTGTGACTGTCTTTTCCTCAAGTTTGTGGATAATATATATTTGATCCATGACATGAATAATACATATATTCATTTTTTCAACTGCAAGACTTAAGTTTTAAATTTAGCCAGTGTTCTTCATTAGAACTCCAAAATCTAAGAGTGTAGAGATTATAAAGATTCCTATTAAAACAACAAATGAGGCAGCACTAAAAGACAAAAGATCCTGACTTCATAACACGCAAAACAAATTTCAACTGCTTTCCTACATCATATTTGTTTCAGTTATCTGCAGTATTTGCCTTTAATACCACCACAAAAGCAAATACTGTACTGTACTTCAAGGCTCAGTTTTGGGATGCATTAAAAGGTGAAGAAATCAGACTGAACTGGTTGCTCCTTAGCAACAGAATTTCAGACTACTGTAATTCTGTCAAGATGAATTTAATTTAAGAAACCTATCCATACAGTAAATAACCAAAAAGCAGTTTACTCTTTCCATCTTTGTACTGAGGTTATGCACTGAACACCCCCCTAGCATTTACTTCTTTCTATAACAGGGGGCTTACAACAACACAGCTTGAATATTCCACCTTTTCGTACCTCCTTCATTTACAATTTCTCAGCTGATCCTATACCAAAATAAAGAGGAGATCTCTATAACAAGTGCAGAAACTATTCTGAAAAACAGCAAATAAATCACTGCCTCTATATTACTCTATAGCTAAAATCCTGTTGCATAGCATAGAAAATTGCACTAGTCTCTGTGGATTTGGTAAATCAACTACTCCATAAGTTCCCCATATTCAAGTGGATCTACTCTAACTACAACTTACTTTAGCATACAGTAGTAAGTTGCAATTAGAGTAGGCCCACTTGAATATGTGGAATTTAGGGAGTTGATGCACTAACACCCACCGATTAAATAAGCCTACTCTAATGCAATTTACTACACTAAGCAAAAAAAATTTGACCAATCTACGGAGAAAAGGAAACAGTTTGTGGAGGTTTTCTTTCTTCCCTCCAGCAGAAAGAAGGTACAGTATTTGAATGCTATCTCTCACTCTTCTTATTGAGATCTTTGGAGAAATGGGGTTTCCAAGCTTTGACCTGTTACATATTCTATGGAGGATGGGGGTTGTCACCAGAATTAAAAGATACACATTTCAGACCCTGATCCCACTTTGGGAGAGAGATCCCAGTATCTCTCTCCCAAATGCAAAGTAGCATTTACCTTGATTCACCACAGAAATCAAAGGATTTTTATCCCAAAGTGGGAAGGTTCCTTTATCCAAGAGGCACACAGGCCGATTCTCTTTCAGACAAGAAACAACAACCATACAAGAAATTGTGCAGAGGTAGAATAATTCCCAACACAAAATACAGAGGAAGAGCAACAGGAATGGAAAAAGAATGTCTGAATACTGGAAGACCAAGCGATTTCACATTCTGTGCCACTCCAATATTGAACACACAAGAGCTTGAAAAAGTGTGGCCACAGGTGGAACAAGAAGTTACAGCTTACTGTATGTCAAGTGAAAGGGGGGGGGAGAAGGAGCCGTACTCCCCCACAAAACAAAACGCATAAAGGCGTGACATTCAGCAGTTTGTCCAGCAGTGTGTGTGTGTGTTCAGAAAGAAAAACCTAATCCTTTCCAGTGGAAGGGTCAAGGAAGGCATATTCACAAGTGGATCCAGATGTTACAGCTTTCTACAGGGCACTAAGACAGCAAGTAAGAGTAAACCTCATCCACACAGACACCACACCACCCCATTCCCCTCTACAGTATAGGTTCTTGTTAAGGGATCAAGGGTTCCCGGGTTCATTGCTCCCAATGGGTGCGTCACGCGCACCCACTCACCTTCCTCCCCGCACTGGGTACACAAAGGATCCCAGACCTCCCCCCACAGGGATCCAGGGGAGCGCTCCCGGGAGGGGGGAACAGGGGCAGAGGGTCACGCAACGCTGTGTTTGCCTCCGTGCGGCACTTTTTGGTCTTCGTGGCGGGGATTCTGCCCAGCCCAGCCCTCCTCGGGCGGAGAGACTGCCGGCGCCTACCCGCTTTCTTCCCGGTATGAGATGGGGAAATGCCACAGCCAGAGGGGCATCACCCTGTCCCTACCAACACCCTCTCCTCAAGAGAGCACCGACGCTAGTGTTGGTAAACCGTATTTCTTCGTTCACACGTTCGCCTGCCCGCCCAGCCCGCGGATCTCTTTCTCACGTGCCCCAAAACCCTTCGGCTTCCAACCAACCCTTCACTTTCCCGTCCCGGCAGATACCCCCCACACCCACCCCGCTGCTCACCTGCAGGAGACGGACACCTCCACTCGGGTCGCCGGGATGTTGGCGCTGACCGAGTTAAAATCCCCCATGGACGCCATATTCCCGTATCGGTCCAGCTTCGACAATTGCCCCAACAATTTGTCCGGACTGAACATCCCGGGGCCGAAAGGCGGGAGCAGAGCAGAAGGGGGAAGAGGTGGCGCCCACGGGGTTTCCCGGGCAGGCACGGCAGGGGTGCGAGGCGGTGAGGGAAGGAAGGAAGGAAGGAGGGGGTCGCGCCGCGCCGGAGATCCTCGCAGGCGGCGAACGCCCGACAGCCTCCCTCCCTCCCTCCAAACAAACAAACAAACACACACACACACACAACACACACAGAGAGAGAGAGAGAGAGAGAGAGAGAGAGAGAAAGATTGTAGGTCTGTGTCGTCGCCACCATCGGGAGTAGCGCGTGACACCTTCTCCCCCCCCCCTTTTCACCCGAGGGTGACCGTTAGACCCCGGGTTTTACTGGTAACTCTTCCCCGGGGAGACGGTTGTTTGCTCTTCTTCCAGCCCGGAGCCTTCTCCGTGAGGGGAGAGGAAGGAGGGAGGGAGGGAAGGAGGGGATGCGTCGCTTCCTCGTACAGTTTTTAGGTCGTGTTTCCTTGCCCTCGCCTAGCGCGAGCGAGCCAGGGAGGGCGGTTACACGGACGGGAAATGAAATAATATTGCTGAGTGTTGCCGTCATTTCGGTAACGCAGGGCGTTCTTTCAGGCGTAACTCGTTAACGTTCCAGTTTGTGACGCGTTAACGTTCCAGCTCTGCCTAACTACTTCGACTTCTTAATGCCTGCCGTCGTATATACAGCACATGCGTTCCGAGGGAAGAATCCTGTCGATTTTACAGTGGGTTCCACCTGCATAGGCTTGGGGTGATAAAACAGACGTTTAACTACCGTGTTTCCCCGAAAATAAGACAGGGTCTTACATTAATTTTTGCTCCAAAAGTGCGTTAGGGCTTATTATCAGGGGATTTTTTTTCATGTACAACAATCTACATTTATTCAAATGCAGTCATGTCATCTTCTTTTGGTTGCTGCACAATGCAGCACAATGGTGGAGGGCGGGGTTTCACTTAACTGGGGCTTATTTGGGGGGGGTAGGGCTTATATTAAGAGCATCCTGAAAAATCGTGCTAGGGCTTATTTTCAGGTTAGGTCTTATTTTTGGGGAAACAGGGTAGTAGTTAACGGTGGGTTTCGGTGTTGGTTGAGGGACAGAGGAAGACTGTGTTTAAAGCCCAGCTCAGCCCTGGAAATTCACCGGGAAGCGAGGTTAACGCTCGTAAAAATGCTCCTCGGAGTTCTCAAGTTCCTTTGAAACACCCTGTTAGGATCTCGCTATAAATCGGACGCGACGTGGCGGCAGCACATCGCGTGACGTTGGTGTGGATGTTTCGCGAAGGTGCGGAGAGACTTCCCTCTTCTCTTGGGCGGAATGGGAATTCTCACGGGAGGCGGTCCAGACGAGCACTGAAGCTGGGTGGTCTTTTTCGTGGAGTACTTAAATCTAGAATGGCTGGAATGCATTGGGGAAGTGATGCGCTGGAATGTTTGGCAAGAACGGGAGCTATCACTGTAAGTTCTTTGGAGATTTCCATAACGCCTTCCACCCCGAAATGCAATGTGGAAATGTTCAAATTAGTCCCCATAACGCTGAAGGAAGGAGAAAGCAAAGTGAAAGCAAGAGAAGGAATATAGTGCAGAAAACTTCGTGACGAAGGCGATCGCTCACCACAACTTCGGCCGGGCCAGCAAGAGGAGCTGTTACTTCGTCAGAGACAAGCCTCGCCGGCCCGTTCCTCAGGAAGAAAGAACAGGGCGTCACGTTACTGCGGGCGAACAGCGCTCCTTCCCATCGATGCCTTCCGGGGCAAACGTGTTTTTAAGAAAGGGGAAGTTTCACGTGCCTGGGTATACGCCTTGATCAAATTACTTTGGAATACCGCCTAAATACACGTGTCTGGAAACCCCCGTAACCCAACTTGGCTACAGAAATATGCCTGGTGTGAGGCGGGTGATTGCTATAGCGGTGGTGAGGCACAACGCTTTACATGCATCAAGCCAGGCTGCGGGTCTGGCAAGAAGGCAGATCTGTGAAATTCAGAACGGATCCCAATGGTTTCGTAAGATTTTTTTATAAATATTTTTGGGAAACTACCATCAATCATAGATTCCATCTATGCCCACAAACTGCACTACAGAAATCATGGATCCTTTGGCACATGACTCTGCAGTGGCACAAGAACATGGATCTGAGGCATGGATCCACATGATTTCATGTGATTTTTAGATGTAATCATCCCTAAACCTTTTACAGCCCATAGATCCCATTTGCACCCACAGACTACTGTACACCACTGAAATCATGAGTTCTTTGGCGCATGCTTTTGCAGGTGCACAAAAACATGAATCCAACTTACAAATCCTCATGGATCCACATGATTTTTATGCAACATCCTCCTCAAACAATTATCACTCATCTGTGTCCACAGACTGCGCTGCAGAAATCATGAATCCATCAGCACACAGCATTGCAGTGATGCAAACACATGGATCTGATGCATGGATCCTCATGATTCTCAGGTAGGATAATCCCCCAAATCACTGTCCAGTCATAGCACTCATCTCTGCCCACAGACTATACAATAGAAATCATGGGCCCATCAGCGCACAGCTTTGCCCACAGACTACACCACAGTGCAAAAACACCAATCCAAAGCATGGATCCCCATGGTTCTACATGATTTTTGTATAGGATAACTCCCAAACCATTATCCGGTTCTATGGCCCATCTGTGCCCATAGACTGCTATACAGAAATAATGGGTCCATCAGTGCATGGCTTTGCAGCGGTGCAAAAACAGCAATCCAGGAAACAGATACTCAAGATTCCAGGTGTTTTTTTTAATGCGGCATCCTCCTCAAACAGTGCGGCATCCTCCTCCAGTCTTAGGCCCTATCTGTGCCCCACAGACTACACCACAGAAATTATAGCTTCTTCAATTGATGGCTTTGCAGCAATGCAAAAACATGGATCCTAGGTACTGATCCACATGCATCCACATTTTTATGTTGGATCATCTTCAAATCATTGTCCAATCATACTGATCATCTGTGCCCACAGAGTATGATACAGAAATCATAGGTCACCCAGCACATGACTATTCATTGGCACAAAAACATTGATCTGAGACATGGATCCACATGATTTTTACATAGGAGCATTCAAAGACTACTGTCCAATTATAGGAGACACCTCTGTCCACAGATTGTATTAGAGAAATCTAGGACACAGCTTTGTAGTGATGCAAAAACACCAATCCAAAGAATGGATCTTAAAGGATCTACATGATTTTTTTTTTACATTAAATCATTCGAAGGCAGTCGTTTTGGAGATTATCATACCTAAAAATCATGGAGATCTCTGCACATCAGATCCACATTTTGCACCACTGCAAAACCTTGTGCTGGGGGACCCATGATTTCTGTGGGCAGAGATAGTCCCTATTATTTGAGAGTGGTATGGGGATGATCCTATGTAAAAATCACGAGGATCGGTGCCTTGGATTGGTGTTTTTGTGCCACTGGTAAGCCATGCACTCAGGGACCCCGAGTTTGTGTGTTTTAGTCTGTGGGGAGAGATGGGACCTATGACTGGACAGTGGTTTGGGGATGACCCTGCTGAAAAATCATGTGGGTCCATGAGGAGCCGTGTTCTGGATTCATGTTTTTGCACCAAAGGATCCATGATTTCTGTGGTGTAGTTTGTGAGTATAGATGGGATCTAATATTGGATGGTGGTTTTGCAAGAATCTCACACAAAAATATGAAATAATTAGGATCTGTTCTTGATTTCATAAGCCACCTTTTACTTTCTGTTCCAAGCTGCACTCTAGTAGGCATCTTGTGAGGAAATCCTGCTGATTCCAGAAAGGCTTATTTCTGAGTAAGCACATATTGCTGCTTTCTCCCAATCTGCTCAGACCAGTAGCATTATAGGGGGTGCCCTCTTCTTTTGTTTTCCGAGTTGCATCCGTATTTATGAACGTTGCATTGCAGGTTAACAGGCGTGTTTTTCCTGAAGTTTTTTAGAGCAGCTTTTTCTCTTGCATCTAACAGAAGGGTGGTCTACCCCAACATTTCGCGACAGAACACCCTCCCCGTCCCCGATCATGAACCACATATGAAAACAGACCCATCTAGTATTCTTTCATTAAAGAAAAAAATGGGAAGTGGCACCAATTCTTGTGTGTGTCAGTTGAATAACAGGAGAAGTTGCACTATGGGGGCCTTTGTCGTCCTCAAGATAGAGTTGGCAATTCGGGTTTTTGTGTTTTGTTGGCAGTAGTGACAGACACACACGGATCCTCGCTTCTTCCGACTTACAAATGCGTCAGCCATCTCATAAGTTAAATGAATCGGAAGTAAACAAAACAGCCCGTCCAAGATTCTGCGAATGAATACGTATTTCAGCGGGAGACTGATGGCTTTTATAAGTCGTCAGAGCGGACCAGAACAATTGAATTCAGCACCACATCCTAATAAGAAGTGAGAATACGGTGAGATCTCGGTAAACCTGCTTCCAAACCATGATTAAATGCTATTTTTAGCAAAGGGGGTGGGGGGAGAGGAAAAGGCGGGAGCATGTGCATGTGTGGAAGCGGGTGACGCAAGAATTCCGAAGCGTGGCGCAAGGCGATGGCCCGAAGGCGGGGGTGGCTGAAGGCTTGGCGAAAGGGATTCCTTGACTTCGGGCCAAAAACGGCGAGGGCGGCCTGCTTTCCCGAAAGCCTTGGGCCAAGAGCCAAAGAAACCTGAAGGAGGAGCTCTGCCGTTGTGCACAGACCCAGCGCTGACTCTACGGGAGGGGAGGGACACCCACAGCGCCTGGCAAACGTGGAGCTGCGATCAGCTGCTTCTCTTTCTAGTTTTCATTTCCCTTCCCTGGAAATCCTTCCCCTTCTTAAATCCACTAGTTGCCAAGTTCAGATCCCCTTCGATTCAGTTAAGCGATTTTCACAGGTGATGCTTAAATCACTCGTGATTGGCTACTACAAGTCTTTCTCTAGTCCTAACCAGCGTGGACTAATCAAGCTACAGTACTGCTGGTAAGTCAGCACGTGGGTAGATCCTGTTGATTTTAATGGGTGGCGCTACTCTAGCTGAGACTGCCAGTAAGCATCTGCCCACTGTCTTGTTTCTTGAAATCTACAGCCTGGTCTAATCCCACCAGACTGAACTAATTCCAAAGGTTTAGGAATGAGTAAGGGTTTA